AAAAAGAAATAGTAATAACACAGTATCCTCAGCAAAGATGAATTAAACAAGTTTTATTTTAATGGAAGTTTACTTCAAGTCTTCAGATTTTTACTGTCTTTTATTTGATTACTTTAAAGTATATGATTACATTAGAGTAATTAAATAAAGACAGTTTTGATGGAGCTCCTGACCCAGCCCAAGCTCTCTATGAAGACGAGGAAAAACTCCCCTGGGGGGGCCAGATTGACGGGAAGAAACCTCGGGAAAGCCCATTCAAAGAGAGATCCCCTTTCCTGGGATGGCTGGGGGGGTTACAGGAATTCCAAAACACTGAAATTTAAAGTGGGCCAATTAAAAAAATTATTTCCTGAAAAAAAGAAAGGTAATTCATACATCACACATAAATGATAACGTCTGAATTGTGTGTGTTTGTGTGTGTGTGTGATAGGCTTATCTCAGCCAAGTGTGATGCTGTAGCTCCTCCAGCGTCGGCCGCGTCTCCGGGACTTTGGTTAAACACGCGTCCAAGAAATCCCGGCAGTCTGGAAAGAAAGGAAAGAGAAAAAACATGAAGATGATAGTTCCAGTGGTCCAAGCCATCAGTCAGTCTTGAAGTGTGACGTTTTCTTACTTTTGGACAGATGTCTTTTGAATTTCAGGCGCTTTTTGAGGAAGCTCGTGGTGTTAAAGTCCCCGGCATGAAGCGCTTCGTACAGAACCACTCCCATTTGCCATACCGTGGTGGGTCCACACCTGTAGCAACTGCGCCCGTACCACTCGGGAGGGGAGTAAATTTCTGTACCTAATAAACAGACACAATTGCAATTTCTTCTAAAACAAAAGGCGAAAATTGTGACATCTGTGAAGAGCAAGAGCAGAATATGTTACCATAGAAGACGCGGTACTGCGACTGCTCCTTAACAAAGCAGCTCAGTCCAAAGTCGATGATACGAACACGCGGTACATCTGAGCCGGTCTCAATTAGAATGTTCTCACTCTTGATGTCCCGGTGAAAGATGTGTTTATCCTCCAGGTGCTTCGCAGCATCAACCAGCTGCTTCAGAATGACCTGGAAATAGAGCAGGGCGATATGACCAAAAATATTTATCACGATATACATTTGAAAAGTTGCGATAACGATATAACTGACGATATAATGTGACACTAGACAAAATACTTTACAACTCCACAACTTTATTAGTGCAAAAAACCCCATAAATGTATTTTCACTTAAACAAGCAGCTGTTTTTTATGTGCATTAAAGTTATATAAAAATGTAACAGTGCAAATGCAAATTCCTCGCTGACAGTTTAACCAAAAGGCATTTCCAGTGGAAATTGGCCGACATATCCTCAGCATAACCATGTATAATATCCACAAAACTTAAAAAGAGGTTATACACACACAATACGGTAATATCAGTTGAGGTGCAGTACGTATCACTCCGCGAGGCGCCTGCCTACGATAGCCGTAATGCTCCGACAATCCATCGAGCGGTGCGGCTTTGTAGCTTAGCAAAGTCGCCGTGTACATAAAATCGTTTTGAGGTCAGTAAACACAACCAGAGTTCATACATAAGGCACACGGGATTATAAGGGGCACTGTCGATCAGAAAATCAAGATTAAAGGCCGTATTCCACGGTAATCGACTAGCTGCGCTACAATGTGTTGTTGTGTATTGAGACGAAAGCAACGCACATAAAGTGCAGCATTTACGTCGTCACGTTTCTCACCCACTTTTGCTACCCATCTGCTATGTACAGCGCATCCGTTACTTTCATTTTCCTATCGTTGCCCAAAATTACACCGGTATTACCGTGAATGGTATGATATAGCCCAGCCCTACCTGGAAACGATGAAAAAGACAATAATCAATCAATGGGTTAATGTTTCTCTAATACTCTGTGCTTTGATTGAATGATGTACAGTCTAAGACTCTTCTAAGGCAAGTCAACTTGCCTTGGCCTTGTCCTCTGGCAAAAATCCTCCATTTTCTTCTATGTATTTATCCAGGTCCACAGCGGGGACAGGTCTCTCCATCACCAGGATCAGCTCTCTGCCAAAGTCAAACCACTCCAACAGAGACACTGGGGCTGATGTTTCCACTGATCCATCTGCTTCAGCTGCAAGCTTCAGCATGATGGCAACTTCCACTGACACATTCTTCCCGTTATCATCCTGAAATATTTCAACAAAGTGGATGATGAGGCACAGACGTTCCACAGGTGAACGCTGCATGCAATCCACTAATGTAAAAACAATTCAAGTCTTGCACATTTACCTTCACTTTGCAGTACACTTTCCCCTTTGGGATGTGTTTGATGGCCACCTAAAAGACACAGGGCATTGATGAGCATTTCCTCAGTATGACATCATTAAAGGTGTAAAACAGCTTACGATATTATCCCTTATCTGCATTACTGCCTGTCTTACTACCACCATCTGAACACTTACTGGTAAATGATCCTTTATGCGGTAGCCAGCAAACACTGCTCCGCATCCTCCTTCTCCAAGCCGGTGCTCCTCCACGTATCTCGCTTGGAAGTCACCTAAACAGACAAAGACAAATTGGGTTTTACTACAGCTGTCACACAAATTACTCTCTGCTGTACCCTAAATGTTCATTTTGCTCTTCACCTGAATATAAAAGCTAAGCTGCTTGCTACTTACGTTTCTGTTCAGCCACTGACTTTTTGGCAACGGTTTTGGTTTTGTCCTGGTCCACGTTCTTTTTCTTAGGTGGGTCCCTGGTGTCTCCCGCAGCTTTCCTTTTGCCAGCCTTTTTGTTTTTACTGCAGCTCTCTGAAATCTCTATGCTGCAGTCTGCAGATGTGGAAAACACCAAAAGCACGTCAGCTTATTAGATAATAGACACAAATATCTCCCAAACACTAATATCTTCAAACTAGCAACCAGATGTACACTTAATCTACCCCTCACTCAACTAATTAGCCTACCTTTACCAGTGTCCAACCAGGAAGATGCCTGCCCCTTGTCACCGCTCACATGGTCAAGAAGTTTACGCTTCTTTGCTGTGTTGGCTGTCCCCGCTTCATCTTGTTGGACCTTTCGCTTACTCCCCGACCACATGAGCATCTGAGCTGGTGGAAGGACCAGCCTGCTCAGTGACCCTCCTTCTTTTTATGGGGGTCGTTTTTTCAGGACTGGCCTTTCTTTTAGCCATCCTGCTCTTACAATCTATAAACAACAACAACACATTAGTGAAAAAGAGCGCTCGACATCAGGACTAGAAGGATTTTGATGTCATTGAATTTTAAATTAGTATTGCTTACAATATAATAACAAGTTTATCCTTTTGATAAAAAACACACCAACACGAGTCCATACTAGGTCTACTAAGTCTAGATACTGATGACACTTGTTGCTCTGTTTTCACTGCTCAGTCCAAGAATAAACTTGTCACATTATTTTACCAAAAGACAAAGTGCCCCAGTAACCTTTCTTTGATTAGACATGTTGCACTCAGGTTAGTTTCAATCAAAACCAGGATTTAAATCCTCTAAAAATGAATCATTTTATACACAGAGCCTCAACATTGTTAGAAATGTAGATTCTGTTATTTGGGGGATTTTTTTTTTTACTTACTTTGATCTCCTGGATCTTTCTTATCTGCCTCAGTCGTAACTTTTCTTGTTTCCTTTTTCATCTTAATTTTTTGAGAGCTTTTAAAATAGAAAATGTGACCTTAATGAGTGAATAGTCCTTCAAATGTCTGGATGCTTGACTTTTCTAACTAAGCTGTATAAGTCAGTTCTGTAAGTGAGCTTTAAAAGTAAACTCCGGAGTCTATGGCAACACAACATTAGAACCTTGCCTTTTAGTGACATCACTAAAAGGCAGTGTCCCAAGTAGTTTAAAGAAAAACACTCTGGCATTTCATATAATTCAGTAATTTCACATTAAACTTTCTTTCATTATCCTTTCATTATTTGTTTAACCTCTATATAAGACTTCTAGTTGAGCAACACTAAACACTGACTAGTTTATCTGAGATAAAATAGACACTTTTTTATTACATGTTAGTGCTTTTTAATTTCGTTGTATCATCAATACAACTGTTATAGCCCAAAATGTATCATTTCATATACACTTTGCAAAGTGCATAAACGTAGGCAATGCAAAATCGTTGTTTCTTCACTTTACATAGGTGATTTCTACTTGGCAGAACACTACTTAAGTAGTTATCCCTCAAAACTTTAAATACAAAAAAGTTGCAAAAAATAGTACAACAACAGGTACAATTATTTTGAGTTCTTCATGTGTTTTGTCTGTGAGATACACCATTTATAACTGCAAAAAACGACAACAATCCATAATGATGGCAAAGTTTGCAAAGAAAACAGCAGCTGTGCATGCAAAATAAACTATTTCCAGCAGTGCAATTACCTGAGTTTAAGCATCCCAGAACTATTAGAAAGTCTGTCACATGACTTAAAAAACACTCATGTTAGGCTCTTAAGTGCCTACAAGTAAAAAACTACATTTTCCGCGAAATGACGTCACTTCACGGTTTCGGGACAGAGAAATGTGTACAGGACATGCGTTATACAGTTCAGCGCTGACGTCTGTTTCAATGTGGGAAGTGTTACGAACAGCTGATCGGATCGGCAAAGCGTGTTTCTGGAATATTATGTTTTTGTTCCCGCAAGCGCTTTTTATGCAATTTTTGCAAAGCTATATGTGGAAGGAAACCTGAGACCTAGGACAAGCGATGGCATAAGATGTAAGTACAACTCCTTGGTTTCATATGCAAAAAAAATTATTGCGCTAGCTTAGCGGTTCCCGGTTCTACAGGGATTTAAAAATAGTTACGCAAAACAGAGCGTGCCTGCTCCGACCGGCTTTAAAGGGTTAAACATGTAACAATCGAATTGCATCTTTCCATTGCCAGCCATCTCATTTTGTACAAATCCAGCCAACTCTTCCAAGTTTGTGTATTTTTTAAACCCTTACAAGAATTGAAATGTGTCCCAAATATCTGTATCCCATCAGAGGCTAGTTTCTTAAAGGAGAGGTAGTAGCTGCTCCACCATAGGACCAGTAGGACCTCCAGCACACAATGAACACTTAATTAACATTAACACATTTATTAAAACACAATTTTAAACAATAACCCTTTTCTTTTAGTGTGTTTCAATTTGTTCCTACCGCTCCATTGGAACGGTGTACTATCCAGTAACAGCATCCAGCTGGCAGAAGCATACACCTGCAGCAAGGAGAATCTACCAGGCAGGATAGCGCAGCGGAGTCATCAGATGAAGATGGTTCATCCAGCAGGAACAGGATACCAAAAGGGGAGGAAAAAACACAGAAAGCATAGTCATGACTAACTCAGGTCACTAACAGCTCATCTAGCAGTCTTAACATCATAAAGATACAGGCTGGTCCATATAAAAAATATTAACAGAAAAAATTAATGCTGTTAACCAAATTTTCTTAGGCAAAAACACATAATCTTGATATTTGACCTTGTATCAGCCGCCATATTGGAAAGGTAGCCAGGTTTCCTTAGCTGCTAGCTTGCTAACAGTCTGCTATCCAGCCCGGTAATAACTTCATTCACATATTTTACAACATTTAGCTTTCTTCCTTAACAAAAACATGCAGTTGTGGATTTGAATCTCGCTGCAGCATAATAAGACCCAGAACATTCAATTTGAACATGTGCTGCAAGCTAACTCCCCAGAGGAGTTCATGCAATGGCCAATGCCTGTCGGATTCGGCTCATGACTTCTCTGTCTAACAACACATTAAAACATCAGTTTCAAGTACAAATGTTTCATAAACTTATCTACAGCGACTCATATTAAATGTACCCAAGTTTCCAGCTGGCAGTGGGCACAAGAACAACACTCCTCATCAGATCAACGGAGGAAAAGAAAATTCTAGAGCTGGGCTGGGTGGCTGCTATGCTCACGGCATTGTGGCACGTTCAATGACTTCCAAATAATCAGAAATCTCATACTTAATTAATGACTATCAATTGAAACATATTTACTATACCTCAAAAAAGTATGAGTGTACCAATTTTAATTGCCCATTGCAAATATGGTAAGTCATGAGGGTGCTAACCATGCTCTATGACTCTATGACTGTATGACTGACAGTTTTGCTATGCACCAAAATGTCAGTTATGTTTAATGCTATAAATAAAAATAACTTTACTTAAATTTTAAGATAGGTATGTTAAGATGTGAGAATGTTAAAGCATGAATATTAGCTGTTGTAATTAGTATATTTTAATGAGTCGGTTTTTTGCACTGCAGGAGTCACTTGGCTGAGTGACAAAAAGGTTCTTCCCACTGAAAATGCTATGTCCAGATGAACAAAATCCACTTTTGGGGATGTACTTACCTGGATGATTGAGCATGTATCAAGACAATGAGTCATTTACTTTAGTAAAACTGTAATGCAACAAGCACAAAAAATGGGCTGTAAAAAAAAGAAAAAATATCCGAACTATAGCACTGACTTTTAAATAGCAATCAAGCCCAATAAACAGTTTCTTTTGTTAAAAGAGGGGCCTAATGGCCTCCACAGTTATGTGAGATGATAAAGCCATACAGAAAATGATTACTTCAAGATATAGCTGCTAAAAGTCGTTCTACTACCGAATTATGTGTATGTATCCTCTCTTGATTTATTCCAAAGTTTACTCACTTGATTTGGATTACTGAATGGAACCTAATCATTTTATTAATCTATAACACAGAAATAGCCACACAAACTAAATTAGTTGGTCAAATTTTATTCAGACACTTGTGAAATAATCACACAATGTAGTCCTTCTAATGACAGCAACATACTTTGTTAGGAGGTGGTGGGATTGTCACATGCAGTGAGCTAGCATGATTTACTTAAAGCTGATGTGATTCCCAGATTGGATGAACTATTTGCATTTTCCTCATCATTATTTTTATTTTTGTTTTCTGATTGCTGATTGGTAGTGGTTGCCAGAATTATGCTTTCGCTTAAAATACAGTGTTAGCTACTAGTGCCTCAATTTCTTGGTTGTCTAAGAAATTCATCCTATCAGAGCCTTCAAAAACAAAAAATAAAAACAAAAAATATACTTTACAAAACATAATTCCAATTAAAATAGTTAGCTGGGTAAAATGCCACATGTTTTATGTCATGGTACAGTTAGTGCGACTTGATTCTTATGATAAAATGTAATTATATTTTAATCCCACAAATCTCTTTTTTCTTTTTATGAGAGCTCACACACTTAAAGGATATGCCAAAGTCACACATTTTACAACAGCAACCTCATTTTATAAATGCAATAACAACAAAACAAGGGGAATAAAAGCAAACATTAAGAGCTTTTTACAGAATAAATTGCATGACTGCAGTGAGAAAGCAGTAACATCACGACAATGTCAGTAGGGAGTGGGGAGAGGGTTTTAGGAAGATTCGAGTGCCGGTCTTACAACTGCAGCACAGATCATAATAAAATTGCTATTTGCTTGGGTATTACCTTCATGAATGACATCCATATTAATAGGAAGCAAATTCTGCATCTTCAAGTTAGGATTTTAAGGGGGATAAGGGGCGGGGACACCAACTGATGTGCAACTTCTACTAAAGCTTTAGCATAGGAGTAATATTAATGATTCTTGACGCCAGCGAGGCTGACAAAGTGGTGAATTTCCTATTACTGACATCATTTAGAAACTAGGGTTTGACTCCTGCGTGAGACCGTAATTTTCTTTACTTTTCTTTACTTTTCTTTATTTATGTAATTTTTGTTTTCACTGGCAATTTAGTGTTAGGTTAGGACAAAAAACAAATCAGGAAGGTTAAAGACAGAACATTACTAGATTGTGGTTTTAATTAAAATGTAACCTTTGACAATGCTGAACACATGAGAAGCTACTTTTAGGCATATCACCCAATTTGTAATATTCCTAAACATTTCTTAAGGCAGACAAGTTATGCTGGCTGGGTCAGTGTCATTTTTGTTGTAATTGATGTCTGGTTTGTTCTGTTCCCTAGTGATGGGTAGGGATGGGTACCAGTATCTGACATAAACGGTAGTAACCAGACCGAAAAGCAGCGCTCATTTCCGTGCTTTTTTTTCCTGAAATGTCATACACTTTGGATTCTAGCCAATCATTTTACCTTTGCAAGGATAGTAGGCGGGCCCAGGTACGTACGTTCTTTTAGAGCAGAGCTACAGATTGAAAATGCCCAAGGCAAAGCGGTCAAAGTCTGGCTGTACTTCACAGCAAAAGATGCAAACTCAGCAGCCTGCAACAAGTGCTTTAAGGTGATACTGTGCAAAGGAGGTAACTCCTCGAATCTGATGAAACACCTGGCGACGTACAGCATTTTGTTAAAAGTCGAGAAATGCGCCGTATTTGATAGCTTGCTGCGAGACCTCACACCGGGCACATCTACTGCGGGTGGGTTGTGTTCTCCATTCTTTAAGCACCATTTCAAAAGTACCAGTTTGGTACTGGTATGGGATAAAACCCTAGTGATGGGTTCATGCTACTTATCTCTCTGCTTTAGGCTTTCCACACATGCGTGTGGAAGGATTGGGAGTTCTCAAAACAGACTCATGCTGTCAAATATAATTAAGCTTTTGCAACTGGAAATAATCATTTCTTTGAATAAAGTGGTCCTGAATGAGCTGTGATTGTTTACCTGAATAAGAGTGAGCAAAACATAAAAGGAGGAGGCAGGAATACAAATGGCAAAGAGATGTTCATTACAAATGTAACTGAAATGTCACAAAGGATCGTAACCCGAGAGGAAATACATTTCCATTCAAACATGATTAAAAAACGTGGTTTCGTTGTGCGAGAACATTTTTTTTCATTTGG